CAGTTGCAGGTTGGTTTCTCATCCCTGATCATGGACCAAGTTTCCCGTGTACTGAACTGTTTCTTAAATCCATTTCTCCATCTCCACAGACTTATGTCCATCTCCTCTTGCTTTTTCTCCAGAATCTCAGCTTCTATACGGTTTAGAATCACATCAGACGCGCTAAGGAAATGAGATCGCCACAAGGCACATGTGCAAGGTCATAATCTAATCCATCTTTCTGTTTTTTTTATGAACCAATATATCCATACACTTTCCAAAAATCTTTATCCAAAAATGTTTATTGTTCTCTCCACCGAACAACCGGTGACCGTTTCAATAATTTCTTACATACCTGTCAACGGTTGACTTGTCAATAAGAATTAAGAAACAAACAATATGTTTTTCATCAAAATCGAAGCTTGACCAAATTCAAAAACCAAATCCGAGATTCAAGCTTCTCCAAATCAGAAAACATGAGCGACGACGGAGACAGCTCGAATTTAGTCGACCGCGACAAAAATTTTACAATAAAACAAAAAAAAGAAAAAGTATATTTGGAAATAAATATATTAACCAACTTTGTTTTATTCAAAACTCAAAATCTTTTATTTCATCAGTTTTCCATTGCTTTTCCCAAAAGTTATGAAACTCAGGCTTATGACGTGGGGGACTAATTGTATATTTCCACGTATCTTGGCAAATTGTGCAGTCTTCTGGACAACACAGCATAAATTTTTCAAGCTTTTGAGTGCCCGTTTTTAGAAGTTCCTCCTTAGGTTTCATTCCTGACACTAGATTTCCCCCGTCTCTTTGTAGTTGCGTGAATATACAATGTGAGAGATTAAGAATCTTGAGGTTCGGATGGCCGATGATGAGCGATATAGTTGATTCTCTACATACACAACCGCATCGAAAGCTCAGTCTCTCGAGGCTCGGAAAGTTACAAACAAGTATTTTGGCTAAGTCTTTGTACAGTGAACAATGAAATTTCATGGTCGTAAGATTTCTACAGTTGTCTCCGATGGTTTTAAGCTCAGGGATAAAGGCGTTATCATGCAATGTAAATGGTGAAATAATCAACGTCTCGAGATTCTTCCATTTACTAAAGGCTGACTGAATTGAATTAAGATCTAGAGGTTTCATTATTGGCAACGCAAGTTTTCTAATGTTTGGCATCCTTACAAACAAAAAAAAGAGGATATAATTATGAGATTAGACTTATTTGATTTTATAATTTTTCTTCTAGGGATAATTCAATAGTGAAATATTCAAATGATAAGAATGAACATATTTTTACCTTTTAGAAATGATCGCGAGATCCTCGTCTAGTATATTGCAACGCATGTTGAAGAAAAAGTTTATCGGGACAGTACGACCAAATTTGTTGAGCTCAACCAAGATCTTCCTAAGGGGGTACTCTTGCTGTTTTTCTCCATCATTATCCTGCATATGTTGTCCATGGGGGTAATCTAAGAGGATTGAATCAGGATCGTTGAGTTTGATGGTGTTCCATATAGTTCTATCGTGAGAGGCAAGGAACCAAGTGATGCACACTCGTGATGCTCCCATGATAACGTCCACTACGTCGAGCTTCTTAAAAATGTTGGAAAGTATGTCTCTATTCATATTTTCCCATCTCAAAACATTTTCTAACCCCTCTTGACTCTCCATTAATCTCAATGCGATTAGTATATATATTTCTAAGGCCGTTATCAGAAATCTAAAATTTGGAAGAGTGTTTGACTCAGCCAAATGTGTAGGTTATTTATAGGGTATGAAGATTTGAGTGTCGAGATTTATTTATACCCATTTTAAAGCAACAAATCATCCCAATCAGTAATGCATGAGATTTGTGATGGTTCTTAAAAAAACTCCAGATTAATTATGCATTGTTGCAAGTAATTACTTTTTTCCATTTGAAAAAGATATATATTCTATGTTGTACATGATATA